CAGAAGCTACTCTCCGCTGTTGGAAAGCGGTATTTTCTATTGGACGAAAGCGACCGCAAATGCGGAACATTGCAATTTTTTGGGGCTACAAGCCCATAGTGAAATAGTAACCGTAAAAACTCAATTCGTTCCTCCTTCTTAGCTCACCGGTCTGATGAAAGAAAATGGACTGATCCGGTGTCTGCGGGATCATGTCAAGCCACGATCCGTCATATTTCTGGACCCAACGCTGTCTGGGTATCTGGTACCCTGGGACGTATTCTACTTGAGTGGTGTTGGGATTTACTCTGTAGTGCGACGGCTGATCATAGCTGTAATCGTAATTACGAGATACGGAAGAGCTGGAAGCTGTTCCTTGGTTAAGCCATTGTGTACCCGATATTCGGGATGGAGGCGCCGGAGGTTCAGGTACGTTGATCGGCCTTTTTCTGGTCGTTTGCCTCTGCTCAGTCTGCTGAGATCTCTCTCTCCACGGCGGTGGAGTCTTCGGCGGTCCCGGTGGATCAGGAGGCGTTCTTGGCTGCTGTGCACCTAGTGTTCGTCCGGGAGCCGGAACTGGAGGAGCCTTTACAGGCGGCCTAGCACTAGAGGAAGATCCTGATGACGTTGGAGCTGGTGATTCTTTCAAGGATCTCGGTGCAGCTTTATATTTCACAGGTTCAACTGGTCTGGCCTTTGCTGCTGGACCTCGCACAGGTGCCGGAGGCGGTGCTGGTGTTTCAGCTCTGGGTCGATATGTTCTGGTTCTGCTGATCGATCGACTTCGAGTGCGTCCAACATTTCTGTGAGAGTCAGTCCGCAGCGGCGGAACACTATCTCTCCTCTCTTCTCGTTTTTCGAGATATCCTTGAGTTCGCTGCATCCATTTTTCACGTCTTTTATCTTCAGATTCCTTGGATCGGATGCGCATATTTTTCAATGCCTTCAACTGGGCGTAAGCAAGGAGAGGTGAGTGCCATGCACAGTCCTTTTCTGCCAGACCAAGGTCGTATGCCATCAAATGTTTTAGCTGTTCAACATCGTTCAGCATAACTTCGTCGGAGAAGGCAGATCCTGCAAACCCATCGGCAGAGGCTGATTCTTCTTTTGCACGTGCTTCCGTGACAGCGATCTGCTTACCGTAACAAAGAGAAATTAAAAGCATTGAATCACAATCAGAATCATCTCCACGCATACTGCGGATGTAATTGGCTGCAGTGGTCGATGAAACTACGTTATACGTAATACGGTTTATCGGGCTGCGGTGAAGATTAATCTGCTGAAGGAAACGCTCCAAAATGTCAATTAAAATACATGTCCGGTAGTCGGAGTGATCGTCTGCCTTAAAGCTTCGCTGTGCGAAAAGATTCCCGTCACCGGACAAAAAGTCGCACTGATGTTCGATACAGCTTGCGACAAATTGGAGCCATTTCTGGCACGTTTCTTTATAGGCATTACTCCATGCGTATGAGGAGATATGAAAAACCGCAATGCGGCATTCAGCTAACATGAGACGTCGGACGTCATGAGTGTCGGCTCCAAGATTCACTTCACAAGCTTCCACGCCGGAGACGGCAAGGTCGTCATCTCCGTCGATCTCACAGATCGAGTGATCAAGAAAATCGAGTGAGGATGCAAGTGGGCGATCGTGCTGGTACACCGTAGATTCGGCATTTTTCTCGATGTCCGGTTTCGGAACACGAGCGCCAGTGGAAGGATCAACAAATTCTCCTGACGTGTTCATGCCATGGCAAACACGAAAAATAGCACCATGCAAAATCCAAAAGGGTGCATCTTTGGTAGAGGTTTCAATTTGGTGATGACACAAAAGTTCAATAAAGGAGCCGGTATCATGTGAGCCACGGATAAAAATTGCAACGGACTGTGACTGGATGTGCGGATGCACTACCATTCCAATCATACCGTACTCATCGGCTAGTTCTCGATGGACGGCAATGCCACCGTACTCATCGGACGCCTCGCACAGGCACACAATATGGGCCGCATTACGGAACACTAAATGTGGCAATGCACGGTGGTTGATGTCAGTTCGTACCCATTTTGGAAATTTGGCGCAACCTCCGATATACGGAAGACGGTTGATGTGACCAAGGTTCAAAGTCAAAATACCAAGCTGATACGTGTCCTTCTGAAACTCATGGATGTTCTCCTTAGTGCGCTTGGTAACACCAAGGATTGCTCTCTTACCAAGAAGGCACGATCTGAAGAGTTCCAATAAACGGAGAATCTCTTCTGACTTAAGGTCACCGCCATCAGGGTACTTGAAGAAAGCCTCAGGTCGCCAGATCGGAAGAGGCGTCTGGTCCTGGGCATCAACAAAGTGCTCCTGGAGAGTCGGAATTCGACATCCAAATGGCATTTCATAAATGTATTCGGTATAATCAAAATCTTCAATTCCATGACGAGCAAAAGATTGAAGGTAAGTGTTTCCAATTGAGCGGCCCTCACGCAGATGCGTGATCAGTTCCGAGAATTTGTCTTGGCGATTTTGAGCATGCTCTCGACGTGTTGCGCCGAAATACGACGACTCAGCCAGTACGGCATCAACCAGTTCTTCGATGTCGAAAGGTGAGTTGGATGAGCCGATGCTGTCTGGAATAAAGTCGGAGGACAACTCTGAGGAAAAATTAACAATATTATGTTTGCAAGACAAGCCGCAGGTGCGGCATTCCAAGCAGTAGGCAAAGCCACAAGGGTGGCACCAGAACATTGCCTCTGAACATCCACATTCTTCAAAATTCTTACAGCATTGAGGACCCGCAGGGCGAGGAAACCATTGAATTTCTTCCGTGTCCTTTTTAAACTTAGTGAAAAACTTTTGGGCGGCGTCCGCATCGCGGAACAAATCCTTTGCCTGAGCGTTCATTTCACGGCGTCTTTTGTCTTGACAACCTGTCGGCGGCCGCCCCAGGGAGATGCTGCTTGAAGATCAACTTCAGCGTCAGGATCAACTTGGCCGGATGCTGGATCGGAGCTAGCCGCAGCGGCGGCATCCTTCGGTTTCCTTGGCATAGGCTTGGCCTTAACAGGTCCTTTGGGAGCTTCACTCTCCGAGGCGGAAGACTGCTCCTTGTTTCGCTCTTTGGCAAGATGTTTCTTAAATCGTTCGGAAATTTCTGCCTTGAGAGTTTTTACTCTCTTGTCTGCCTCGGTCTCAGGTGGGCCAAGCTCTTGGTCGTTGGAGTTGCTTCTGTTCGCAGAGGCCTGGCCGGACCGGAATCGGCACTACGGAAACTTTCCAAAAACTTCTTTACAACTGGGAGTTTCTCGATTTCTTCTGCCACATACTCCATATATTCGGAACGTGACCATGTGAAACCATCTTGTTCATTCTCATTCTTCTTCTCCCAGTAAAGTTGATGGTGGCAGACATGCATGGCAAGGTCAATATTGGATGTATAATCATTCATTCGCCTTAGCTCTCCCGGTTCCGGTGCAACAAGCCAGGATCGATCAACGAAGGACCAAACACCGCAAAAGCGATTAAAAGGCACGGTCTGATCAGTGAGGACGTACCTGTTGTGAGTGATCACTGGACCAAGGCCGGTAACGGCACCAGGTCTGGCTATTAGGATGCAGTCTGATTCGGGACGTAATACGTCTCTGATCGTACTGAGTGCAGAATCAAGAGTGAAATGCACATGGTTCCTTCCACCACGGGTGCCTCCTGGGAGCAAACCTAGTCTTCG